AAATTCTTGCTCCAGTCCATGTTGCCAAGCTGGTCGGCAACATGTAGCCTACAGCTGAATTGAAGCTGTTTACCGGCTTCTCACTGACCCGCCCTTCCCTGCTACTGATTGGCTAGTAGTCCTTAACTAGGAACTGCACATGTGCAACTCCCAACAAAGATCATTGTTGGGTCTCACATCCATGACAAAGATGGGCCTGCAGGTCACTGAGGAGCCTGTTTTAAGTCTGTAGACAAAGGACAAGGCCACAAGCCTGAGAACAATGGAAAGCCCAGATGACCCCTAGTCAGTTAATTCACACCTACCTGTGAACTCTAACTTGAAACCAAACAAAGGGTTAGTATTGGCCAAAGTTTTCAGGGGGCGGAGTAATCCCAGGAAGTACAGTGATTTTGTGAACAAAGGTATGAACTTTCATTGTTCCTGAATACAGACTTTACTCGCAGGACGAGCTACAGTCTGTGTTCTTCTTAGTACCTCTATTATTTTTTTCTTCGTGTTACCAACACAATTTTGGATCCCTAAGGAAACTGTTATACACAAGATAACGTTTCATACCTGCAGCTTAACTAAGAGAAGATCACCTCTGTGTTAAATGTTAGCAGATGTTAGCAAACTTTAGAATTTGTGGTGTAACTGATGTTTCATTGAATTTATGACTCTCCTACTCTCAACAGCAAAAAGCACAAGCAAGTTATATTATTAAATTTTGGTATTAAACATCTCAATAATCCTCAATGTGATGACATCACCTGTGAATAATTAATGTTATCCTTACTTTGTAGTTTCATGTTTTAAAAAACAATGTATTAACAATTCTTATGGTAATTAATTACAAAGTAAAGATGACTGGTAGCAGCACTCGACAATTAGCAGCCTGGAAGCAGCCTTTTTTCATAAACAGACAGTGATGGAGTGGCAGGAGTGTCATACTCAGCTGATGACTTGACAAGTGCCTGGAGGGCCCTCGTCTTTCACACGAGGATAGGCAATTCAAAGGTGAAACAGATTGCGGTAAATGTTTATTTTGCATCCAAAAATACTGTGTTTGTGTCTAAACCCATAGCGTAGGGTAGCATTTTGAACATGTAAACAAGCTTCGGAATGGGCAAAGTATTGATTTATTGTGAGAATAAATTTACAATACTTAAGCAATATAGGGACACTGTTAGCTTTGCTAGCTTTGTGTGGTAGTTTGATGATAATGTATACATTGTTTGGTGGTATATTTCTTGAACAAGTCTTTCTTGCACAGCTCCCACAATGCAACTGCAACCACATTTAGGGCTGTGTTTCTTCATAATGCAGCTAAAGTAAATGGCTGGATAAACAAACAGATGAGCTTACAGAACTTTTTCTTCTACTGTGTCTTCTTCTCTTCCACAATCAATACCACATTCTTTGGATAGTCCATGGTCTGCTGTGTATGAAATATATTTCATGCTGTTGTAACCAAACTAAATCATTGGTAATTCACTGCAGGATGCTCACAACAAATGGCTGCCAAAGGGAAAATAAACAACTCATGAAAATAAGACTTCAGCTGGAAGATTGCTTCAGCAAAGATTCATGTTCATGCTATGAAAATATAAATATGAATGAGGTAGAAGCTCTGACTGAGGTTAATTAACATCTCATTACCATCACGTCTGCTATGGTGTATTGAAGTGTATCCAGCACAAAAATGTACTGTAAAAGTAAATGCATGTTGTTTTTTAAATGAACTTAAAATGAGAAATTGCAAAAATTGTCTGAGAGTCACAGAGTCAGACGCTGCATTTAGTGAGTCAGGCTGAAAATACCTAAAATCACGGATAAACATTTAGTCAGGCTGTGCAGAGATTACCAGGTTTCTGTGTTCTCTTTAGAAGTCGCAGGGAGGGAGGAAAAAGTTTAATGACATAACACTCAAGCATTCAGTTTATGAGCTCTATAGCATGTTTTTCTAAATAGTTATGCAATGATAATATTTTCATACATGCATAAGCGCCTAGAAACTATGGTGTTAAGTAACATCTGATCTCTAGTTATATTCACTCTCAGTCACATAGTTACATTTATGAATAAACTGTGCACTTGCGCTGGATCATTAGTATCACCAAGAAACACTGTATCTCAAACATTCACTGTTTTTTGTACAACTGTGTTCTATGGTCGTGTCCCTGCTTGTCTCCTGTGTTTCGGATGTCTTTTTGATTATGGATATTGGATTATCTGCTCATTGGATCTGTTTGCCTTTGTTGGACTGCTTACCTGGTATAACCCTCGCCTGCCTCAACTTCTGAGTAAGCTTGATCACCTTTTGTTTTGCCATTTTAATAAACACCACTATCTGTGCCTGCTTGGCCTTGGTGTCTGCGTTTGGGTCCATATCCCTTGTGTCCAGTGTCTGTGCTTGGCTAAACCTGGCATGTTTACCATGTTCCTTATCTTAGTGTGCCGTTTTAGGATATTTACATTTCCTAATTAGCACTAAACACATGATGCTGATGGGAATGTCATTAGTTATTCAGATAATAAACCAAAGTATTGGAAAAAATGAAAGCATGACCAGGTGGTGGCGCTAGATTTAAAGCTAAGCAATCACCAAAGTTATTAGAGTTCATCCTGTGGGAAACATCTGTGTCTACAGCAAGTATCCATCCAATAGTTGAGATAGAGATATCTAACCTAAAACCACAAATGGTCAGTCTCATTGTTACACAGTTTAGTAGATGTTGAGATATTTCACAGTATAAGTGAAAACTTTGACCTGCGGCTGGTGCTAGATGAAAAATTAGGAGATTACCAAAGTTATTGTGTTTGCAGGTATGCAGTCATAGAGTTTCTTGTACCACTTCGTGGCCTAATTGGTCCTGTTGGATATATTTTCTCTAAATCTTTGGCAGAGGAAGTGTTTCACCTACGAACTCAGCAGTTTGATATCACAAAATACAGACATTGTTAAAACTGTCAAAAATGCAGTACTACATATTCGGCCTCCAAAGGCTATGTTTAAGGTTTTTGAAAGCATTTGGTCCGATTACACAAGCTGAACAAACCTCCTATTAGTCGACGTGTGAAGGATCATTCCTGAAGGACATTTGCTTTGCTGCCCATTATTCTTCACCTCTTGAGGAAATAATCACGCATCCCTTTGCTGAAGTGGACCTTTTTTCCGAGCTGATGTTTTTTACTCCGTGCCTAAGAGTCTCTGGAGTAATCTCCGGCTTTGAAGTATGCACAGCATCTGAAGTAGAAGAGCCCAGTGGAGATCGCAGAATCACTTTACCTCAGGAAACATGTCTATAAGAGGGTCAGTTTTAAGGGCAGTTCATGAAGCATGTTCTGTATCTTAACTTGAAGATGACAATTTACCTTTGATACCTAAGATTTATTTTACTATTGTTTTTCTCCATGATGTCCATCTAGTTTACAGTAACGAAGATCTTCAAAACTGCATGGACGTTTTAATCTTTAATTGTCTGCTTCAGTCTTGTATCTGTATCTGATCACCTTCCTCCACAGAAGATATAACAGAATCACCAACACTAATCTGCACGGAAAATATCATTATCAGTAGACAAGCTGAAGACATGCCAAAGGGAAAAAAGCTTCCTCATCCTTTGTGCTTGTGTTTACTTTTCTGTCCCGACTGACTGAATTCTACAGAATGTTTTCCCACGTGGGACCACACACACCTGCTAGTCCTCCACTAAGTGTCGAAAACAACTTCACAACTACCCAGTGCTGCCTGTATCCATCTGTCCCCTCTCTCCATCATCTCTACTTTTATAACTTTGGGAGAAGAAAAATGGCGTAATCGCTGTTCTTTTATAAATAATTTGAATCTGCAGGTCAGATTTTCTCTCTCTATCTGCTTTCAAAAAACAGTACAATAAACCAAGTCGATGACATCAACTTGTAAGCATGTTTCTAATATCAACATCCAAAACAATAACGTCTTTATTTTGCATCTTTAGTTTATAATTGACAGAAAGCAAATGGTGTGATTGTCTTCAGTGAGACACCCTGTGAGAAAGACAGGATGGAGGAGAAGCCCAAGGGAAAGATCTTCTTCAGTCTGAGGCCAGGAGGAGTTCATATGGGTTTGCTAGGCCAACACTGGGTGCACTTCTTAATCTTTCGGCACTGGTTTGCTTTCTTTTCCAGGCTTAGAGTTGGCCGTGGTTTGTGTTTGCACCAGCTGTCAGCTCTGCTTTCTGACACACACTGCCGCCCTGTGGAATAAAGCTGTCACTGGAATAGTACTACAAAAGTTGCAGTCGTTGCACTCTAGTCTTCTGTGCTGTTCACAGTAACCACCACAATATGCAGTATTATGTTTATGAATTGAGACATTTCATTGATCACAACTGGAAGAGTAGCAGAACACCTACGTTTGGTAATGTAGATTGGATTTTAAGAGCAAATGATGAGAGAAAACATACATTGTATTCATTGTACCTTGCGCAGGCACTGCATGCCATCTACGTTTAACTGACAGTGGAGAAACTGTGTGCTCGCATGGCCACCCGAGACCTCATGATGAGTTCAGTTGCAAATGTTGGTATTGGACCCACCTCTAAATACACTTTGTTCTTCAGGCACGAATAAACAGGTGTACGGATCACAGACCATTCAACATGAAAACAGGCTATCACGCATCAGTAATGTGTTTACAGCATCTTGGTATTAGTGAGTGATATGTTATGAGTGTAGAAAGCTGTTTGTGTCATTGTCTGTAGCGTGAAAGTGGACTAGTGGGCCCTTGAGCTGTGACATGTTTCGTGTTGGTTACCACGGAAAGACATGCCATATTGTGGCATGTCTCAGAAAATTATTTTTATGAATGTGATACATTTCTCCCATCCCTTTCACTGCAGAGACTTATCAGGGTCCCCCATGCATATGATCAACATCATTGAACCAGATGTATCAAAATAAGCAAGACTTTTCCATCCAAGTTGCACACCAAATGACTGCATTCTTATATGTTGAAAAAGGCAAACAGGTCAGTCTTTATTTATTAATTTTTTTTATTGATGGTACAGTGTGTTCTGTAGAATAGAACACTTCAGTCCCTGAACAGAAACATTTCTTTCCCTGTTCACAAAAAATAAACAACTTAATTCCCATTGGTTTTGTTCTACTGTTATAGTTATCTTAAAAAAAAAAATAGCATATGTTGCATTCATTTACAATGTAATAATAATTCCCCTTCTGGGGTCAACACAAACAGATAAATCAACATACTGTACACAAATATATGGCCCTACAGCAGGAGTACTGTTAATAACTTACATTCAGACAATTCAGTTGACACAGAAAAAACAAGCACACACACACAAACACGCCAACTCTTTGTCGTTTTAGTCTTAGCACTTGGTATTGTTCTAAAATACTATTAATGTCTGTTGATTTTTTTTATTTCTCCAAAATGTGCAACTGATTTAGGATTATGAACTAAGGGGCAGCTTCAATGTACTGTATGCTTGTAGACCGCTAACTGTACCCATTGTTATTAACTGAAATGTTTACATGAAGCCAGAGCATCTTTATCATTTAACCATAATAACATAAAACGTTCATTGGCAACTGACTCAAAATGTCAGTGTGACATTTCAAAATATAAATACAAGTCCTTCACTTAAACATGTACAATGGACATTGAATGGTATGTGTCCTCGTAATAATCCAAGTATCTAATCAATATAATGAATTGATTAATTTCCCACTCAATATCATTGCTAGTTTAACCCCTTAATCATTAAGGATTTCAACAGATAAATGCCAGCCGCAGAGCCAGCCATTTTGTCCATTCACTATCTCACTCTTGTCAGTCAGACAAGCAGTTAGCGGCCCAGTCCCAGTGTCCAACTACAGAAAGTGTACAAAACATCTGATAGGCGTTCCTGATGATGGACACTGGAACTTGTGATACCTAAAACTTACCTTCAGCTCCTAAAACCAACATTTAGCAATTTCAAGTCACTCCTTTTACAGTTACATTCAGAAACATACACGTTTTATAATGCATATATTGCTATATTTTCACCCACACCCTTGTTTAAATTTCACAAAATAACTCATCCAGCAACCAGGTTTATACCAGAATTATGGAGGGGGAAAAAGTGAATGTGTTACAGTCTGTTTTATACACAGATATGCTTCAGTTGGGTGTTGTTGTGGTCCCAGCCACTCTTTATTTGGGTGTTAACTTCGGTTTTGAGTGAAAGCTCGTGGTGCAGCAGTGCCTGTGGCAGACTTTACTTTCTGATGCTACAGCTCCCATCTGCATTTCATTGGAATAGCATGTTTGTCAGCCTCCTCAAACTTCTTTACAGACTGTATGAGAATAGAAAGAACGGAGTTGCTCCCAAATTAAAACTGCACTAAACCAGTGTTGCGTTTTCTGGTGTCACAGTGTTTAAACAGGTGTCTGTATAGCTGGACCTGGTGTGTAATACTGTTTATGTGCTACGTGTCCCTGTGGATTGTAAATGAGGTGGATGCTTCACTCAAACTCATTAGGAGACGAAAACAAAGAGCCAGAAATAGACACAGACAAAAATCAGCATGTGTGGGGAGGTTCAGATGCAAATACAATAATTTGCACAATTATTCTCATTTACTCTACTGCATTAAAATAATAAAGTAATCAAATCAAATAAAAATGCAAACCCATACTTCAATGAGATATAGTATGTTAGCTGTTTTAGGCACATAAGAAGAGTCACAGATGACACTTTAAAGCCACAATCTGGATCTGGACAATAATCTCTAGTGTCAACATCTTAACTTCCATTTCACTCCAGTGCAATGCAATTCAGACACAAACCATTAAAAGGCCCAAATATAAGACTACAATGACCTACAAGGTAGGCAAATTAACCATATTTGAATTTGTTTACACATTTAAATAGAAATACAGTACAGCGAAAAATAAGAATGTTTAAAGTGGTCCAGCATTTTAGCAAAATAAAGGCTCTGGTAATATTTTAGCCCAGTTCAGGACTAGCAGCCAGCTTTATTATGGCTGTTTTTATTTTTACAATGGGAATTTACATTTGTCTCTCTGTCCTTGGCACCTCCAGCTCGTACCATAAACTGAACACTGAGATGACATGACGCATGAAATAGCCCCTTTCTGCACACAAAATGGTAGTCTTTGTGCACTGACAAAGTTTAGACGAACATCAAATATTTAATTCAAAAGCCAAAGACTAAATAGACCTTGTTTACTGTGCGTCCTGTCAGCAGTTTTTCAGTGTTTATGATGGTCATTAATAAGGGGAAAAAGCTTTCTACAGAACTGCATCAAGGCTAAAAACGACCCATGACACAGCACAATAACAATAACGCCTGCTGTGAATGAGTAATTGTGTAGTCCTTGAATATACTACCCCCATTTCTTAATAAATAAATCAGGAGAAAAACAATCTTATATTTGGGCCAATATAGTACATTCAAAAATCATGTGATGTCTTTTGCCAGCAATGCACTCATTCAGGGTTGAGAAAGAAAATGAGACAAAAAAAAAGCATTGTGGGAACGCTCTGCAGTGCCAGAATGGGCTTTAAATTTTATACAATATATGACACAGTATACTGCATATACAACTTATACAATTACAATGAACACACAGGTAGGCAACATACTCCATCATCATCAAGTCTGATGGTATAAGAGTATAACACAGTGTAACAGTGTCAGCCACTTCTGGGTTAATCACCACCATTTCATTTAGTTTATGCTGATCAGACTGATGATTGTTTAAAATAAAATCAGTTGGTGTCTGGGCAGGTTAGAAAAGATGACTTACTGTTTAGTCGAGTCTGTAGGTGGACTGGATTGTTAATCAGTGTAGCTGTTTGGTCTGCGGATACTCCATAGTTGAGGGATGTCTATATTAGTTCTGCGGGGTATTTGATTTTATAAATAAATGTGTATGTGTGCACATGTGTAACAGTGTGTTACTGTAAAACAGTGTGTTGTAATATGACCTAATACACTGAATATCTCCCATTATGTCCCAGTTTCACCATCACTGTTTTGGTCTTTGCTTGTTGAATCCCACAGTCCGTTGTCTGGCCTGGTGTGTCTCTGTATTATCGTCTGTGGTGTGACTGTTTCCAGTGCATGTAGTGTCTGCGGTATATGTATGGCCTTTGGGGCCAGTGTGTGATTTGTTTGCATTTTGCCCATTTCCTGTGTGGGCACTGTGTGTTGGGTATGTGGGGTTTGCATCGTATGTGGTATGAGTATCTCTGTGCTGGGGGGGCCTCCTGGATCCTTCATAGCCATACTGGCCCCTACCATGGCAGGATAGCTTCGATTCCTCCTCAGCCCTGCATTTAAACCTGGAAGCCCCCCACCCAGTGCACTGTTCCCCAGTCCAGTAGAGCCAAAGGGGGCTAATAAAGTATTCCCAGATGAAACGGAAGCAGCACGAGGGGGGAGGGTGTGGAAACATTTCAGTTTATCCACAAGTCGTAGCTTCAGCATCTCCGTTTGGCTGCCATCATCTGCTTGCGCCCCTTGCTCCCGCTCTGCCTCCCCCAGCACTTCCCTTAGAATGGTACGAGCTGGTTTAGAGGCAAGGAAGGTGTCGAAATATGGCGGGTCGTCAATGGAAGGGCTGAACTGAAAAACTGGGCAGGTGGTGGTAGAGGAGGCAGATTTGAAACGAGGGGAGTTGGGCGGGGTGGAGGGCTGGAGGAGTAGGGTGTCTGGGGGTTTCCCCAATCGTCCGGGTTCTGTCTCCCCTTGTGTGACGCTGCTCCTCAGTGCTCGCGCTCCTCCCACGGGTGTTGAAGCTCCGCTGGCATCCAAGCCTCGGTCCCAGCTGCGGGGGTCATACACTGAGGCAGAAATCCCATGCTCCAGCAGGAGGCGCACCAGGCCCAGAGAAGTGCTAGTAGTCTTGGTGGAGTCCCTAAGGTTGGTGGAGGACTCTGCTAGGGACAGGGAGAGGGAGAGGCGGCGTGGGGTACAGCAGGGGGTGTAGGAAGGCGTAGGCGGGGCAGAGAAGGGTATAGGAGAGCAAATGGGGGTAGGGGTGCCGATGCAAGCAATGCTCTGACAAGAGGCTACAGCTGGGCTGGAGATGGAGGAGTAAAGGGGGGGAAGGGGGTAGAGAGAGGGATGAAGGATGATAGAGGAATTGAGGAGAAATGAGAAACAGTATGGGTACAGGGACAGAAATTAATGCATTATCAAGTCTTAATACAGGACTTTTAGTTACAATTAAGACTCATTAAAAAACATAACCATGCGGGAAATAAACCTTTTTTCTTTTTGCACAATTGAGATGTAGAGATCAGTTTCGGCCTCATCTAAGTCTGCATAAAGCCACTAGTATTTTACACAGACACATTGTTGGTGACCAATAACTTAGCATATTTTAAATAAAAACCACATCGGCAGCATAAAAGCATACAGACACATTTTATACATATTACACTATTTACCACACAATGAGTTTATATTAAAAGCCCTGATATAATAAGCTACATGATGTGAGGCAACTAAGCACAGAAGTCCACTGACTAGTCTTCCAGTCCAATGGAGCCAACTCAGGTGTCATCACATGACCTTTCTCAGGTCCTTTGGTCACCCGGGTAAAGTGGTAATATACAAGGTGGATATATCCTCTCTTGATTCCGGAGTTTGCATAGTCCCTGGTCCTGGGTACTCACAGTTTACGAGTCCAGTATTTTTCCTAAAGTGTTGAATGGCTAATTGCAGAAAGGCCAGCCTTGATTTCAGAATGGGGCAACGAACTCCCCCGTGTATGACAACTTGTTATAAACTGACCAAAGGATCAGATTAAGGTCAAGTGATGACACCTGAGTGAGTTCTTATAATATATATATAATCTCAATCCTATTTTCCATGCTCAAATCCTGACAAAGTTACATTTGATCAGTGACCTGAGTCATAGCATTGTGTCAGGAGCTGGAGTGTTAGTTAGGAACATGTCGACAGGGAACATTAGAGGCAAACTACATGTCGCTCCACAATGCAGTGACCATCGGGGGAGTTAGAGGAAACTGCTGATGTTATCTGGTTTCCACACACCCACAGTCTTTAGTGATGCACTCCCATGCATTGCCTCACCCATGTGCACCCTCAGTGGGTGCACTCAATGGGTCTGCTCTACTCCGGCCATGACAACCGTATGATACAACTCCACTTCATCTTCCTCATCAGTTGACCTGCCAAGGCCAATCAGACAGCAGGGACTTTAGAGAGTATGAAGTCAATCAGGTGCTGTGGCATCAAAGGAGCCCTGCCTTAAAATCTATTGGAGGGGAACAAGAGGGGGGGGTTTGCTCCTTGGTTGAGAAGGAGCTATTTGATTTACAGTACAGAGGACATTACAATTACAGAAGGTCTTCTTTTCATTTTCTATGTAAGGCTTCCTGCAGCAGCAGCTCTATCTCCTTAATGAGCTGTACGATAACACCTGCAAAAACGGAATCCAGGTAGAAAAGTGATTTTCTGCCACCAAGTGTTCAGAATAACACACTACACTCAATTGTGCACACCAAGGACTAAGCACCAGTGCTTCAAACAGACGTTTTAAAATGGAATACACTTCAACAGTAAAAAAAACAAAACAAAAAACTCAGGAATTTACAGTGTTTACCTTGGGGACACAGAGGTCAGCTGATCAGAGGGGTGGAGAATCCTGCAGGTGGTGAAGGTGTATGTAGAGCTAGTATGGGACATACACTTCCCCGGGAAATTAACTAGAGGAGAAAAGAAAGGATGGAAGGAGAATAAAATAGAATAGTAGGCGGTTAGTAGTGAGTCAAAGGGCACCAAACAACACTGCAAAAGCACTGTGCACAACAAAGTGGAGAAAAAATAGGCCATGATCATAGAATAAGCCCCAAGCAAAAGCATCAGCATTCATTATCTTCCTGATTTGTGATGATGAGTTAGACAGGTTGGCCAGCATTTAATCAAATTCACTTTAGTCATGAAGGCGAATATCCACAAACGTAAAGGCAGGACAACTCACTTTGGGAGATTAAGCTTCATTATTTGAAGGTATACATACACTATGCTTTGGTTATTGATAACAGATAGGTTTGCAATTTTTCAAGTCTATATTAAAATAATAGTTAGGTGCCCATATTAACAGGGACACAGGTTTTGCTTGCTGTAATCATGCCTCTTGTTCATACTGGCCATTGAGAGATCCCTTCCTAACATGCTTCCAGTTTAAGTGATGGGAGACATCATCCAAAGTCCTTCTGAAGGTTACTGCCAACACTATTCTTTTTGAAATAATAATAAAAAATAAGTTTTTTTATTTTTTAAATACATAAATACATCAACTATTGCATTTAGAATTTTCTTCACTAAATATTGTGGGAAAATGAGGAGTAATGACGACCCCTTGTTTGGCTGACTGTACTGTATGTGCAGGGGGAATTCAGCTAAACACTGAAATGTTAAGAGTTTTGCCAAGAGTAAAGTTATTTTCTATTTAGATATTCCTAGGTTTGGAGGAATCCCTGCACCAACGAAGAGTGCTGTGTAAAATGTTATCTAAGAGAGTGCTGTTCCTGTTTCACAGAACAAGGTCCTTTGACCTTTTTGTTAAGAAACTTCTCGTGTCACTTTGGTTCTGCCTGTTATAGTGGTTGGACAACTAAACTTAAGAACTAACTGCAAGAAAAATAATATTGTTCTGTATTAAATCTGTCCCCTGACACTCATGTTGGTAGTAATGAATTTAGAACAGCTGCTACCAGTAAAGCTCAGGGTGGAGCAACAGAAACAGCATCATATGTACAATATCATAAATGTTTATGCTCCTCAACACTATCACACATAACAATGGTACATATTCAGAGAGGCTATGATACCAAGGCCAGCATGTGTTCATGTGCCTCGAGTAAATAATGTTGCCAGGCTCTCCTTTTCCTACACTGGTGCTGCTCAGGACTTTTTCATGGAATAGGGTCACAGATTTATGAGGACATTTTTCCTTCAGCCATCACATTGCCCTTGTTGTACTTTGGTGATTTAATGTGGGAGTTTGTCATTTCCTTTGTTGTGATGTCATTTTTCTACGACGTCAACGCTGACATTAACCAGCCGTGGGCGCCATGTGTTCATGTGACTTGGACAGCTGCGCTTATAACACCTGATATACACGTACGTGCTCACATCCTGGACCCTAGCCATGACATTCCTATGTGCATGTGATTGTTTGGTACACTGGTGTTTTAGTGTGAGGGTTGACTGCTAGAAGAAATTAAATAAAAACTAATAGAGCAAAATGTTTTCTGAATGAAATTACTATCAATCACACATGAAAAACATGAAGGAATTCTGTGCTGCGGATCACCGCTGAGAAAGACTGAGATTATTAGAACTGTAAAAGACACCACAAAGGCATTGACCTCAGAAGATTTGTTGAAGAGGATAGGAAAGTAAATGTGATTGGTAGAAATAAAGTGGCTGTGAAAGAAGGTGGGAACTGAAAAAAAAAAAAAAAAGATGTACTCTGTTTTGATGGGGTTCGATGACTGAACACGCGAGGACTGCCGGTGGGGTGGGTGGGTGTGCAGGTGTGTGCACATGAGCGTGATCGTGCAGGAAGGGACGTCACATTGGGGTTTTGAGATGTCCAGTGAATGCCTTTCCCCAATCCCTCGCCCTCCCACCCCTCCTCCCCTATATCCCCATGCTCCAGGGTTGCAAGGGAGGGTGGATACAGTGCAGTGCCCTTAGCTAAGTGCTCCCTCACCAGGCATACGGTCCACTGTGGCGGTCTGTAAGGCCTGGAGCTCCTTGAGGTCCACGTGTCCGTTCATCTTGGAAGAAGAGGGGAGAGGAGGAGGAGAAGAAGAAGGGGAGGGGCTGGAGAAGGAATAGGGCATGTTTGCAACATGTCCATCTTTTGGTTGATTTTCTTCCCTATCCCTGCACATTTCTCCTTGCAACGTTTCCAACTGGCTACAGTCATCGACGTCCCCATTTTTGTTGCAGCAGTCGGAGGGAGAAGAGGTAGAGCGAGGCAGATCCGTGGAAGCAGAGCCCTCTCCCGACAAGCCAGTGAATGAGTCGCATGAAAGTTCATCCTCCTCTGGCTGGTCCAGTTGCCAGCTGTCTTCCTGTTCCTGGTCGTGTGCTAAAGTGCGGAAGCCCTTTGTGACCACACCTGGCCGATGATCCAGCAAAGCACCCATGTGGGGCTGAGCCAACTGCTGCCATGCATGGAGAGTAGCAGAGCCTGGAAAAAAAAACAGTCAGAGAAACATTCATGTTATCTAAATCTGCCTCAAGCTGCTCTCCGTCACTCAGGCATCTCATTCAAATTGATATGCTGCCCTCAATACTTATTTGTCTTTTCATTGTTTCAGTGTTTTGGCGGTGCTGGTGATAATGAATTTGATCAATCAAACTTCAAATTGTTCCATGTTTCAACCCTGAAGTACTCTTCCTATCACCAGTCTACACATTTTTATTAGCTATAGCCGTTTTTTACACTGTTATCTTTGGTTAAACTGTATCTATTAATTCTAAGTATGTAGTACTTCAGGCACAATTTAAATGTTAATCTTTCATTTGGAGTGTATTGAGTTAAAATTCAGCTCAACATGCTGTCACACTAATTCTGTGACTGCCTTCTGCAATCGATTTCTTTTTACAAATGAAGTTGAAGCTTGTTACTACTAACTAAGTTACTAACTATACATTTTTATCAGGGGCTGAAATGCCTTGCTTAAGGGGAGTTTCACAAAATGTTAGGAAGGAAGACCATAGACACACTATACTCAGTGACAGGCCTGCTCCACTGAACCTAATACTGCCATCTGACCCACATCACGTCAGCTTCACAGATGACGTCTCAGCCAACTGCTATAAGCTTTACATTTTATCACAGTATCATATGCTGTATCCAAAAAAAGCCCTATACTATATTTAGACATATCTGTTCAGTAAATATAATTTCTGTGTTTAAATGTGTGAAAATATACTTCAGTGATTTACTGGCAGATATTTTAATGTATACAAGGACACACACACACACAGACACACACACTTCTTTGATACAATACGACATGCCACATCAGGCAATGTCTTTCTGCTTATTAAGGGTCCTCGCACCTAGTACATTGGTCTCATTTCAAGTCCAATGAATGGTTGTTTTCCCATGATACATGAGGTGTCAGTACATAAACTAACTAAACTAAAGACTAACACAAAAAGAATGAGAGAAAAAAGGAAGAAAATTAGTAAGATTTTATTCAAGTAGTCATCTACAAAGAACACGCTGAACAGAAAAAATAAGGAAAGTGCAAAGACAAGACAAAACCAAAAAATGAAGAAAAGAAAAAGGCAATCAGAAGAGGAGTAAAAGGAGTGGGAAGTACAGAGAGTAGTAAACACTAAAGGCTCATACACTAAGAATACTCTAAAAAACAGAATATTAATGTGTTTTTTAGTTATTTTCTGGACTGTTGACTTTTAAGGGCTATATGATCAGGTCACAGTCAGGTATGATATAATTATGAAGGCAAACACCGTCATGCAAATAATTTGAGGTTACAGAGAAATAAAAAACATACAAATGGGAGAAAGATAATAACCAACCATCATTAGACTTGAAATTGCCACTTTGCCACATTGCCACATACTATATTTAGTTTTCACTCTGAAAGCAAAAGGATGTGTTAACAGTTCATAGCTTCATGTTTTTGTCTTTTGCTAGCAGCTGGTGTAGTTATCAGATTTCAGTGTCACAGTTTGAACACCAGGTGGTGCCACAAAACAGGAAATACCAATGTGACAACAGCTTTTTGACATTTGTTGTGCTTCTCAACTGGGCATTTTTAAAGTGATGAATGCTTTAAAGGCTTCATATTGCACATATACAGTTTAAGAAAATATTTTCAGCATTAATGTTGTTTTTTGGCCAACCCAACAACGTTAGGATGTTGGGAGGAATCATGGGATGGCAGCATGTATAGTAACACTTCAACTCTACAAACGTCACAACCAAAACAGTATGAAAATAAACAATTATAAGATAATAAAGATCCTCAGTTAAAAAAAACAAAATCACAAAATGTTTTCTTATGCCTTAAAGGTGGAGTGAGATTTCTGGAGAAATCCAACACCAAGACAAATGTCAAGAAAGAGCAAGCACAGCAAGTAATGTAACTATGGTTAGCTAAGTCGTGCGTTTCTGCATTGACGCTAACATGCAGAGACTGTTCCAGAGCCAGTACATCAGCTCCAGACAGCGATACTCAACTATTTTATTACCATAACTAACATCACAACAACAGCATGTCTTGGTGAACTAGAAAGTAAGCTGAATGTCCCTGGGAAAGTCATTTAATGTTACCTGACACAAATCATGGCTGGAATAGTGTTGTGTGGCGGGGTGCGGGCCACTGTTTGTTTCAAACATAACATTTTTTTTCAGCGCACACAGAACAGACAGCTAGCGGACCATGAGGAGAATTTGACAAAAGACGTGTATTGGATTAGAATCACTTACCCCACTTTTAAGTGCCACACAGCAAAAACTGTGTAAAGTGCTTTGTGATGTATTCTAGACACATGTAACACTGGGAACATGCTTTGTTCTCATAATATATAAAGCATTATACTTTTATGATTCAAACCAGCAGCACACAGCAGGCCGTCTAATATTCTATACTTCAAACCAGCAGCGTGGCTGTGTGTTTCTGAAGTAAAAGGAGTGCTGGAGATTTAAACTGCCCTCCTGTTGTTCCAACACCTCAAGCAGGCCTGCAACTAAAGCCACTGGAGCTCTGAGGTGAGGCTGAGCGCTCGGCAGGCTGCCCAACTCCAACAAACTGGAGCTCCTGTGCAGGGTTTGAGGACCCTGTGGGGCACTCAGAAAGATTTTGGACTGACTGTGGTTATGAAACATCAGAAATTGATTCTTGTGCTGGTTCTGATGGACTTGGCTTTGGTTCTGTGATTGGGTCTGACTCAGACTGGGGGGGGTATGTAGAAATATATAATTTGAATTTTGGCTCTGGTTTTGATTCTGTTGAGGCTTCTGAAAATGTTCTTTTTCATTGTGCAAGGAATTCTGATTTGGACTCTCTTTTTCATTATGTAGAGGAATAGAGGACTTGTGTCTCTGGGAGGAATAATCACCTTCTAGCGGCTTTACTATTTGCAGCTTCTCCGGCAGGTAGGATCTCGCTGTGAACGAGTATCCCGACCAGGCGCTTCCCAAGGAGGGGTGCGAGCACAGTGACAACAGGCTCTCCGTCGGCGTCCCAGGGCCTCCGCTACTCCCCCCACCACCTTTTTCTTCTTCTTTGGCCATGTAAGCCAGCTTTCTCTCCCTCTCCTCCTCGAAGAAGCGTTTTTCTGAGAGGTAGTTGTCGCGGCGGAGGGACAAGCGCCGCAGGGCTGCCTCCAGATCCCTGCTACCCGGGGTCCCTGGGGTACCAGGGGGCCGCTTGTTAGAGTCCTCTGACCTGGAGAGGGAGACATAGTTGATGTTGTTGGGTTTTAGTGAACGCAATCTCTCTATCTCACTTGCTCTCTGGGTTTTGTTATTCTGTAAAGCTCCGTTGGTCCCTGTTGTGTTAGATAATAAAAAGCAAAGAATCTGTCCGTACCCATCGTCTGCACTCTCTAAGATACTGCTAGTCCTGTTGTCCAGGATGATCCCGCTTCCCATCTCGCTACCATATATGGAGTTGAAGCCCGGCGTGCCCACCCTGCTGGAGCGCCCTGAGGTGAGGCACGATGTCTGATTGGAACCTGGGATGTTGAGGGGGGAGGGGGCTAGCGATGAACGCTGCTGACGCATCAGGTTCAGGTTTTTCACTGTCTGGAACACTCGCTTTGGTTGCAGTCTGGAGAAACATGGTCACATAATTTTAGGATATCAACTCTCATTTTCGCCATGAAGTTAGACAAAAGCATTGACAACCCCTTCTCTATGGTTTCTTTTTAAGGTGAGATGCAAAATACCTCTGCTCTTCTACGTCCGGATCATCCATCTGAAGTTCCTTCCTCATGGTGCCCTCTATTTCTGCTGCCAGAGAGTCCTGGAGGAGAAGGCAAACAGATGTAGGGATTTTGTAGCTACTGGGACCATGGAGATACTGTGATACTGACAGATGTTAATAAATATAAGCTCACCATTGGGAACAGACCCAGAGAATGGAAACGCCTTGATGTGCTGACTGGTAGAGTTTTATTTCTCAGGTTCTTCAGCTCCTCCTGAGCCTCATGAAGCATCTCCATGCACTCTGCATATTTATCTTGTAACTCTCGCAACTGGAGGAAGGGCAAAGAAAGATCAAGGGAGACAAGATGGGAAGTAATTGAGAACTAATAAACTGTTATGCAAACAAACTGTGCTGTGTAATGCATATTTGGCTCTGTTTTCATTATGGATTTTAAGTTTTACCTTTTTTGTTGTTGTTTGTCTTTCTGTTAGTGGAATATATACAATAAATTACATTTAACTCTCAGGCAAGCTTTAAGTTTGGGAATAATTAATTAGGTACTGGTGGTCTGATATTGAACCATTATTGATTTTTAACAAATATAACATAAAATGCTTCTGAAATACATTACCTATCCTAGCTTTAAGTATTAAGTGGTCTAATGTGTTGGTTGATCAGTTTTGTCTTGAAGACTTTCCAGTTTACACATTGGACCATGCCAGGGTACTGTAATTGTTATATGAAGGTCTGAAATGTGCTTTTAGTGATAGTGATACGTCACATGTAGTGCTATAAAATTACTTTGACAACGGAGTTACCAGTATATTGATATTGTAGGTATTGTAATCAATATTGTTTGTAAATACTTAATCCCATAGATTTGGTAAAAGACAAATCTTCTAGCAATGTGAGGACCATTAATATTAGTTTTGGAAGCTACCACTGGTGGAAATCCAGTGAAGTCACGGTCAGCTGGTTGTGAATTGCTTTACCTCAGCAGTGAGCTGTCGCTGGGCGTCTTTGGCTGCACCTAAGTGCTGAGTCAGCTCCTCGTTCTCCACGGCATACTACAAACACAGCAGAGATAACAGGATGACAGCTATGTAAAACACTGATTCCAATCCCTTCAGTTAATGCTACACATTCTTAAGCCAAATATGAATAACCAGCGTAACATATTCACATACTGAGAGTAGATATTTAACATTATCAGTAAGAGATTGGGGGGGGGCTGTTTATACCATCTTGGCCTTCTTTTGGAGATCTACTATCTGGGAGAGGAGATGTGTGATCTCCTCCTGCTGTCTGGAGACGTCGTCACTCTTCCGGGCCAGCTCTTCAGCCAGAGAAGAAATCTGCAGGTTGGAATTACCTGGAAACATCAACAGGTGTTCATTAAAAGTGAGAATTTGCCCCCCCAAAAAGCCTTTAGAGAGTGAGAAGGTAGTAACAGTAGTATGACTCCAATCAGTCGAATACTCACGTAGTTCTTTGACACAGTCATTGACAAGTTGCTGCTCTTTCTCCTCATAGGAGATGGTTTCTGTCTCCAAATGACTGGCCTGAAAAAACAAACAGACATTACTAATACATCCTGAACACTGTAGACACTATTAATCACCCCAATAAATAACTCCTCCTAAAAGAAAACCAGAAGGCAATGCTCAGACTGTAAGACCTTCTAATGAAAACAGTATTGCTGCCAGCAAACTCAATAAAACAGACAACGGGTGCAAATTAGCTGTCAAGGTAAGCCCGGCACATCTACATTGAATGGTGTTGACGTCAGTGTTGATTAATGTGCACTGTCCCATATGAATGAATGAATGAATAAAGAAATAAACAAATTGAGATTTTTATGCTTATTATTCTTGGTTTGGATGTCGCTCACTATGACATGGGTTTTTATCATTTGAAAATAACATTTAGATGCAGTTGTACTGTAAGTAAAGCAAGCAATAGTATAGATTTAATTAACATATGCTGAAATGTATTAAACATTTATAGAAAAAATATTGTGTGCGTTTGTGAGAGTGTGCGAGTGTGTGCCTGTACCTCACAACGCAGTGATTTGTTTTCTTCCTCCAGGTCTTTGAGTTTCTTCTGCAAGGAATCCAGGGGGAAAAAAGTTGGAGTTGACACATTGGTTTCACTGGGACGCACACTGCAAACACACATGTAAGTGAGAAACATGTGAATCTGTAGGCCAATCAATCATCCATTACTATGCTTTAAAATCAGTGTGAAATGGCCATTATGTGCAGTCGTCGGCTTTCATGCATTGGTACATAGTCTCATGCCTCACACAGCTTATGAAATCTTAGGAGGGGAGTGTTTTTAATGATGTCTTTGTTCACAGCAGATGAGAGACTTACGGTGTGGAGGTGGTAGACTCCCCCTCACTTTCCTCGGCAGCACTGGTATAGAACTGTAATAGCTCATCTTTCATGGACAAGTCATGACGCAGCTGAGATACCTATATGTGGTATGTCGGAGACATGTAGATGCAGGACAGTTAAAGTAAAAGAATAGATGGCTACACTGTAATGCCCCAGAGCCATGACGGTGATTTTGCATGTTCTAAGAAATGCCCAACCACCACTACCGTCCCATAAAAATGACAAAGAGATATGTACTTTTTTATAAAAGACACTTCAATACGGTCACATATGATCACCACCAAATATAGAAGCACACACTCTTTCGCTGCATACCTCCTCTCGTATGTGCTCTACTTGCTCCTCCAGCAGTTCGTTCCTTTCACTGAGGGCTTTGTTTTTCTTCAGCAGTGACTGTCCGATGCGGGCTGCTAACTCCAAGTCACGCTCTTTCTGCTCCGAGAAAAAGATTTAATTAAGTGTTTTAACAGCAAAACTATTATAGACATTCAAGTTATAATTTGACAGTTGGAAAATACTTATTTGCTTTCTTGCTGTGAGTTAGACGAGAAGATCGATACCACTAAATTCGGACAGAGCCAGGCTAGCAGTTTAAGCAAACTGGCTGCTAGCTCCTGCTTCATATTTAAACACACAGATATGAGAGTAGTAATGATCTTTTCATCTAACCCTCTGCAAGAAAGCAAATAAGCGTGGTTCCCAAAATGTCAAACTTTTTTAAAATTAAAAAAATGTCTCAGAAAATGTAAATGATGGACATGCAGCAAAAGCTAGTTTAAAAAGGTGAGGGTTGATTCACATACCTAAACAAGGAGAGAAAAGGTGGAATGAAGAAAACAACAGACACACCATGTCTTTCAAATGGACGCTTAATACCATAATCTCTTATTGCTTACAACAGCACAAATCACTTGTAAGTGCAAACCCACTGACGCACCAGAAAACTCCCAACACTATACTGAACTATAATTAAAAACTCATTATGAACCTGTGTGAATGACTGCCAGGCACTCCAGTGTTTCAGTAAGTCTGGCTGCAATCAGTAACAATATTACTGGCCTTACAGTGCCACTGAGCAACACAAAAGCTATTGAGTCCACACCTATTTGGATCAGGAGGTTCAGCTTAGTGTTACCAAACATTGAATAGTAAATATTAATGCACTGTCAATCAAAGGACATAAACTTTTCATAGCAAAAGAGGTAGAAGTACACTGATCTCTCACATGGAGCGAGCAGTTGTCTGTTTGTTGATGTTATGAAATCTTTGACTGTCTGGCCGTTGAATTTCATGGTTCATTTAACAATGACATCATTCGGTCTGCACAGTTTTTATTTATGCAGAGAAAGTCAGCTGAGCTCCTCACTAGCGACTTTTCCTGCCACTCTGTTGGTCACTGAACAGCTGATGAGGATCAGAATGCTTTGAATATCAGCTGCCGGGAACTAGTTTTATGATGCGGGTCTATCAAACCTCATGAAGCAGCCTGTGTTCAGACATTTGACCAATGCACCTCACAGTGATTGTATACTGTAGTCCTTTGTGTTTGTTTTCTTTTAACTGTTTTCACTCAACGTGATCTTACCTCTTCCAGTAGTCGAGTGACAGCATCAATGTCACTGTAGGTCTTCGTCATCTGGCCCACTCTGTCAGCACACAGTACTGCACAGATACAAAAAGAAAGAAAAGGAGTCTTTAAGTCTCCAAAGAAAGAGGATTACTGAACAGTCAGTGCCCTCAATAATACATCACAATAATCACATATTAATATACATCCCACCCAGCTATAACAGTTGCATGAGAGCAATGCATAGTATTTGAGTCTGTTTGATTGCACTCCGGTAGTGGAAACAGTCAACAGTCTGTACTGACTGAGAATATGTTGCATTATGCAACAATGTACTTTAGTGTGAAAATGTGTGAAATTTGTAATGTCTGTAAGCAATACAATTTAGGAAATATGTCTTTGAAGCCTGAATAATTGTTAAATATTTACTAAACCCTAACTCAATATAAGATATATATCTAACACACAATGCTGCTACATGTTGGATTAACTAAAATTAAAATGATTAACAAATAAACAGTGCCTCCCTGTTCCCCCTGCTATCTATTTTCTCCACCACTCTTTTCTTGTTCATGAATCATATTATATTCCTAAGAAGTACACACCCGCACATACTACACTTGTACAGCATGAAATATAACCCTCTATTCATCAACCTATGTACCTGGTGATTCAGAAAAGATAAGTTACTGAACGCAGACACAGTGGACAATGTCAGGGGCCACTCCCCAGCAATGCTATTTCAGTTACATGAGCCAAGTTGATTATCAACTCCCTTCAGGCCTCAGAGAAAGCTCTGACATTAGTTAATCAGTTCTCAGTCTGACTGAAAGAATTATTCACCTCTGTCTGTATAACTCTCTGTCTGGAGGAAAAACACCCCCAAGGGGCATTCTGACAATAACAACAAAACTATTTTCTCTGCTCTTTGAGAGTTTTTGTGGTCCTTGATTTGTTTCCAATTTGTTTGTGTTTTTCTGACGTTACATTCCCACTTCCATGTAGATAAAATGACATGGAATTTACTGTATCAGAGGATGAGGATGATGTTTACTTTTGAACAGTCTTGTTAGTCATTTTTAACACTGTCAGCTGGAGAGAGAAGGTGTGTGATGTGACATTGTCTGGAGGTATAATGGCCAACATCTCATAATGTGTTACAACACAGAACAATTCCCGCTTTTCAGTTTCAACAGAAATGATATTTTACTCCGGTTGGGGACAAATGTCAGGCACGTTTCACAGTAGCGCCAACTCAGAGGCCTCCTACAATGCAAAACAGAGTTGGCCAACGCAAATAACATTTTCATATCCTCATACATGTGAAGCAGTGTACAGCAGCTGGAAACAGACACAAGGCCTCAGCTAGCTATGCTTTAGTTAAGGATATTTTCCATCATTATCATCCATTATTAAATAGGTTGCTCTTTTCCAGCCAGACACAGTTGAATGAGCACATGACAATGAGCAGCTTCACAGAGACATTTTGTTTAATTAAATAAGGGCACCTCAAAGTGTTTGTCATCCATTTTGACCCTAGGGTTTCCAGGATTTGAATCGTTTCCCTCTTTTGTACCACACTTCAGACAACTCAACACTGCAAAAACATATGTCCTAAAAAGATTGTACTTGAACAAGTACTCTAAACGTCTACAGTACTTTATCAAAATCCTAACATTAGCATGCTAACAAGCTCACGACGACAGACTTTCATGGCAATCCACACAGTTGTCATTCACGTATTTCAGGCTGGAACAAAGTGCTGGACTGACCAATATTGACAACCACAAAGCTAGACTGCTGGCTTGGCTAAAAATTTATTACACAATATTCATAGTGCAGAGATTTTGATAATAAGGCTTATGGGTTATTACCTACATAAAATCTGTCTGAAACAAACACAGTAAAGTTGAGTTGTTAACGCACAGAGGGCACAAATTAGAATGATGATAACCACGAGCGTGTATATGACTGGTGAATGCAGATGTAGTGTAAAAGCGCTTTGAGTGGTCGAAAAGACTAGAAAGGCGCTATACAAGTACGGAGCATTTACATTTACAAACACACCCTGCATCATCTATCCATTTGCTCTCCAGCCTACAATGAGATTGCCCAGCACACTGGTGCAGCTAGTTTACCTGTCATACTTCCTGGAAAGACAACATGGCTATGATCCTAGGCAAACTGCCTACTTGTACCAAAAATAAAATTCCTGCGTTTCTGTATAACTTGCCAATGACAGCGACAAAAAATGTCCTATTCCTTTAGTGAGGTCAGGTAACATTCTCTTACTGATTTACTTTATTAATCCATTTTAAATGTGCGGTGAAAAGGAAAGGTGAAGACACAAGTTAGAGAAGGAAACTATAACCTGGACTGCATTTAAAGGAAATGTATCTTAATACTGGAAGGAGGTGGATGGAATGTTTTCTTGGTGTTTTATGATGGACACGAGAAGTCAAATGTTTAGTCTTATTCACCAGCATCCTCCTAAATAACAACAGGTGTAACGTAAAAACAACTATAAGGGTTCCATCTTAATAGATTAGTTTGAGTTGTAATGTAATTAAAGCTAGTAATTAAGAAACCTTTTAGCAGACTCCTGTTGCTACTAGGCAACAGACAACACACAGGTTCAAGGACAACAAACATACCAAGACAACGGACAGGAAGAAGCCCTTGTTATTCCAATCAATACCACAAAGACAGTTTGTGTGGAAATGTTAAAATGTTATATAATGGAGGTGCGTATCATCAAGTACCATTTCCTTATTGGATCAGGGTTGGTATTAATTGCCTCTGTAAAAAAAACAAACAATCCCAAATACTTCAGTCACTGCACGGTCAGAATTTCTCTTCTATACAAGCAAAATATGTAATAAAAACCCCACTTTAGCAATTCACTTTCAGTTGCTCAGATGCATGTCCTCCTGTGTCATCATCAGGTCCCTGTGTCTGTCTTTCTGCTTTCTTTTTAATCATGCCTGTGAACAATTCAGGATGGTCACTCGACCCTGAAACACATCCCAAAGTAATTAAACACAAGCTAAAAACCTAAATATCATTGCGCATTTTTAAAAACAAATGTACAATAGCATGCTGGCACGCAACACACCTCTGAGGTGCCAGCAAGGATATTTGAACATGTCAAATCTGCGGGCAGATGAACCACGCTGTACTGAGACCGGATACAACAGTGACATGAGGAACTGCACCTGCAGGATAAAACTGCAGCCCGTAAGAGAAAAGATACCCTTTAACAGGCTACACAGATATCCATTAATTCATTCTCATAGCTTTAGAACAAATGAATAAAGATGGCAGAATAATGCCACAAAGGTCAGACACACTTTGCAAGCTAGCACACAGAATAGCCAGAACCAAGAAGGAGAGCACAACTGAGAGGATGCCCTCAGTTACAAAGAAGACCACAGACTACCTTCACACAGAACTTGTTGCTCTTCATCCATCTCTTCCTCCTCCTCCAGTTCTGTGCTTGCATGACTGGGAAGACAGACATACTCCTCCTCCTCTTCTTCTTCTTCCACCTCCTCCTGCTCTATGCTTCCATGACTGGGTAGGCGAACGTATTCCTCTTCGTCCTCTGTCTGGTTGGAGTACTCCAGCTTGTCCTCAGCACCAGCAACTGTGAGCAGTGCCATCCTCCACTACGGTGCCAAGGCTAACCACTATATCGCGAAGCCTGCAGGTGCAACGCCATGGCTTCTACCTGTGCTGTTGCATATGTGGGTGTTTTACTCTATGAATCATTACCTAATCTCTGCGTGCCTGGATGTTAAAATAAACATCTAACAAAGTGTTTGTTCCAAAGAGGACAGTAAAACCTATATATCTCTCCAAACACTCCATTATAGTGTGTATATCTGTCAAGTACCAGGTAATGTCAGCTGAGTGAGTGTGTGTCATTTGTCCCCTGTTGTAGTTTCGTGAGACAACCAGTTAACATGACTCCTCCCCATCTCTTCTGTGGCTGGACAGTGACTGGCCTACTCCACTTTACCACAGAGAGAGGGGGTGAACACACACACACACACACACACACACACACACACACACACACGGCGGTCAATCATCTTTTTGAAGCAAAAAAACTAGGTTCAAATAGATTAAACACAACAGATGAGAGCATTTAAAATAATGTGTAAAATGTATCTTTATCCCTGTGATCCTCAACCTGTAAACCTTTTCTATGTAAAGGGTTGAAATGGTTCAGGCTGGCACCAACAGGAGCAAATCAGACACCTGTTTGTCAGGTAGGCCTCATATCCAGTGAAAGCTAGTCCTTTTAACCCCCCTCAAGTGAAAGGTATTTTGGTACAGTCCAGTTCAGCCACTATGGTGACACTGAGAGCACAGCAAACAATAATAGACGTGCACCCGTATCCAGGGTGGGGCCAGTCACAGTGTTATGGGTGAATGTCTTTACACATATTTAACTTCCTCCTTGAAAGGGAGGCAAAGGATCACATGAATGCAGAAATATTCAAAGCAAGTTTTAATATGCACCATACTGTCATATTAATGGACAAACGTCTATAGAAAGGTTTTAGCATTTTCCCACTCCTTAATCACTCTAGACAATAATTTACATTACATTTAGCTGATATAATAATAATATATGATATAATGTAAAGCAGAAGAGAAACAATGTTTACTTTTCTTTTTAATTGTAAAAATATGTTTATTTCACAGAAATGAGAGGGGGTTCTGGTAAGAACCAGGAATCTTTTTACAATTCGGGGTGGTGATGTGGCAGTGGATAAGACACATGCCTTTGGTGTGAGAGACCAGGGTTCAATTCCCCACTGTGACACGTCCACCAATGTGTCCCTGAGCAAGACACTTAACCCCTAGTTGCTCCAGAGGCGTGCGAAGTCTGATATATATAGCAATTGTAAGTCGCTTTGTATAAGTGTGTCAGCTAAATGAATAAATGTAATGTAACTCCTGCCATATAAACTGACATTTCACCCTATGACTGAATTATATTACATTCACTGTTTTAAAGTGGAGATGTACAGCTGGTGGAAATTGGGAAGCATTTTTTAAGGTTTTCAGATAGCAAGCAGCACCCAGATGAAAACAGAGCAAGAGCATGCATACTCCAAAAAAGACAGAGCTAAGAGTGTGGTATCAGATCCAAGACCTGCTCACTAAGTCTGCGCTGCGTTAACCACTGAGCTAACCACTTGGCTCAACTGTGTGGCTTGATAAACAACTGAAATCCAACAAATGGCATAAAATCCAGTGATTTATAATCATGTGAATTGAACAGAAAGTTTACTTTTCCTCCTTAAGAAACTAGGAATAGATATTTAAGCTCTAAATTCATTTCAAAAATATCTGAAATACAGAAAGAAGCATTTCAAACTCCCGCCCTGAAAACTGGCACAAAACTTTAAATGCAAGAAAAGACATAACTGGGTCAAGTTGATTAGGCTGTGCAGCATGTTCAAAGGGGGTTTCTGGAAAATTGGACACAGAAGGACGAGCCTGTCCCCCCTCTGGCTAACTTTAAAAGTATCATAAATACCAACTAAGCTGCTCCCTGCAGCATATTTTGCTTGTTATTCCATTTTAGTTAACCTTTAAAGTTGAAATAGCCTCTAGCCTTGCGGCCTGATGACCTAAGATCAGCAGATTATAACCTTTATCACATCATTCAAATGTGTTCAGTTGAGACTCAATGGTTAATCAACAGAAGGATACTGCTCAGTCAAAAGAGCATCAGTCGCACTGCTGGGTGCCGGACAATGTACATTTGAATGAAATATGCCAAAATAACTGTCAATACATGACTGTAGACCAATGTCACATGTCTGTCTGAGCTGAGCTAGTGTGACCCGTAAGATCCTTCAGTAATGAACATAGGCCACATCAAAGCAGCCCAATTTTCTGCTCATCAGTCACCGCTCAAGTGTTGTAATTACTGTAATTGGTCTAGAAATCTGATGCCAGCTCAGTACCATTCTGCATGCTTGAGTAAGTCCACTCAATGGCCCAATGGATGCAATGCTGCAGGCAACAAAAGGTCCTGGACGAACACTACTTAATGCTTCTGAGCAGTGTTTTCCCTCTCCCATTGCCTTTCTAGTCACATTCCCTCTTTACACTCCACTTGTTTTCCGCTTTCCCTTTTCATACACCCTCCCCCTTTTCACCATATTTGTCTGTTAGATGTCAGTTGAAATGCTCTATACGGTAGTTTGGAAGAAAATTACTAAATTGGACAAGGAATTTACACAAACAACATTTTAGACGGTTACGTGGATATAATCACATTGAAATCAAGAAATCCACCTGCCTAAAATGATTGTCTACAATGTCTCAATGCTCCACATCTCTCTACTTTTGTCCTTCAAGCCTCTTACTGTTTTCTGTGACGCAGAAACCATAGCAACATTGCCATCAGCTCAGCAACAGGAACTACCATCCGTCCCATTATCTGACTGAGTAGCACACTGAGTTTCTGAAATACAGCAGGTCATTTCAGAGTTAAGTTAACCAGATTTTGAACTTGCGTGACACATGAGAGACAATCACAATTTGAAAGCTATTACCTACATAGACTTGGGAACAAACACACAGTTTTCAGTGGTTTTTAGCAGTTTCTAAAACCACATTAAAACTTAAATGCTAACACAAAAATCCACGTTTTGTCTCCCATCTTCCAGAATTATCCCTCTACCCTGCCACATCCCCACTGGAAGAATAGTTTGCCCTCTTTCTCTGCCCTGGCCCTCTGTACTGGTTGCCCTCCATCCATCCAGCCATTTGTTTTGAAGGCTTCTAAAAGTGCCAAAGAATATTTGGCCGGCTGGCTGCTATTGACAAGGGCAGCTTAGAGCAGCATGCAAATCATTGAGCTAAATATAAGCCAACCTACTTCCACGTCCCTCCCTTGCATATCTCAGAAACCAAACCAGCTGCTTTTCTATTTCTGCCTCTACACTCCACAAAAAGATTTGTCAAAGAAACTGCATGTCCCCTCTCATTTGGTTGCTGATCATTTCAGCATCAAGCACAGTTGAAATCAAACCTGGGTTAGCTGCCTCAGCTAAATAATACTGCCGTTTAAGCTGCACAGCTCCCACTGGGGAGGTGTTGAGCAGTCTCAAACTGTTACATAACAATTTCTACAGAGCATCCCTGACACACATGCCAACTATAGTGCACGCACATTATATATACACATCACACTTTCATTTTATTAAATGCATGGTTCATTTCTACCAAAATACACCACTATCAAATTCACAAAAAAGCACAGGTGTTCAGGTGAATGGAAATAAATGAGTGCAGGTTATAGTTGCATTGAGTGCAATGAATTACACAGCACATCAAGGCATGGACCATAACCAAGCTGCCTTACAAGACAACGGAAGAGGGACAAAGATCAATTTGTGTGGATCAATTTGGAGAATCATTGTCCACACAGGTTACATACTGTAGATACTGCAATACAGAGACAATACAAGCTGTCACAATAAACTGGGTTAACTGAGTTTTTTTCTAAAAAATGGCATTTACATGTTAAGGTTGCCTAATTTAGCAATACCCGCACATGGAGATTATCTGACTTTCTCTCTACAAACTCAGCTTCCATTCATTCAATGTAGCAGCAGCAGCCTGTATCTTCATTACTTGTCTCTTCCCACCTTAACAGTTTTTGTCATCTGTGACTTCTATTAGTCTCTCTGCCCTCTTATATGGACTCAAACAAAAAGGAAACACAACCATCTCCAGTCCCACTTACACCCACAGCGAGTCATATAAGCTACTCCGTGGCCCTATTTTAGAAGCCACACTGACTCAGCAGCCAGAGCACCTGTTACAACACCTACTGTATCCAGCACCCACTACCCTGCTGTAGCATCAGCGTCAAAGCTGCTGTGTTTGTCCTCACTGTAACATCTGCCTTGATGTTTTCTTGTGAATGCCAGTCCACAAGGTCACATTCTCTGGGTTGTTTTGAAACAAGCAGGGTTTAGTTGAAGGACAATAAAGGTAATTCATCTTTTTGGAGCTTAAATACTTTATAAGGCACTTGTTCTATATTGTTGAGGGTAGACACATCTACCTATTCACCAGCCTTATTTAATGTTGTTTAATCCTGCCACTACCTCCCTTCACTTTAATCTCTTTAGTCTGTGTGTCAGCAGAGGACACGTTATAAATCCTGGTCAGTGGTTATCAACCGTATTACAACACATATGCATGGTGTTATGAAAGCACTTCATTTATACTTATTTACTATTTATGAACTTTGATTTCCACCTCACCTACCAAGAAGCACTTTCTACCATTCATTCGGTTTCAGTTTATAGCTATGTTGCACATAAGCAGAGGTCTGGATCTAATACACTGTGCAGCCAACAGCTCACTTGTTGTGTCAGTGTAGTTTCTAGACAGCGCATTTTTACAGTATACAGCAGCAGTTACACCAAAGCCATCCCTGCTGTGAGTATTTCTCTCTCCCACAATTCAGTATCTCAGTACTATCCAATTGACACTACTATATTATATATATAATGTCCCTCTTACACATCTCTACCTAGCCAGTAATATCAGTGCCATTGGTAGTTTGAGTCATCACTTCAACAACTAGATGCCACTGCACAAACCTCCAGCAGATTCTTGTCTTACCATCAGTACACTCTTCATAGTACCAGTCCAGCTCGTAGTAGTCTGCCTTGACAAACGCTCTGGTGTGGCCTCGTCTCTTCATCCTCACTGCTCTTACAAATAGCTGTATTGTTTCAAACGTCCCGGCATACTTCGCTGTAACATCTCTGGCAAATCCAGTGTCTCAGCATGCGTAGAGACAACAAGCTGATGCCTGGGTCTTACCAGTTACTGATAGTGTCCA